GAATTTGTTCAAATGTAAGATAGTAATTAAAGAAAACTGTAATTGTATTGAGAAATAGTGTTTTAGCATGTTTAAGCATTTCATAGCTAATGCCTGATAGTCCACATGCTTTATTATTAAGAAGTTGGTTGGTAACTTTAAAAACTTCTGTTGAAGAAAATTCATTAAATGCTGTTTGATACTTTGTAGGGTCAATATTAGATTTAGATTAGTATTCTTGTTGCCACATAGTGTTAAATAATTGTAATTGGATGTTTCTAGAAGCTGTCCAATTATGTTTGATAAGAGTTGGTTCAGTAATAATATTATTTTATTCTTTGATGTTATCAAATCTAACATAATCTTTGTGTTGTTTAAATATACTATTAATCATTAATATTGAATTGTTTTGAAGTTACTACATCTTTTGTTTATGTTATTATTGATTTGTTCTCTTATATTTTTAATGTTTTCCAGGTTATAGGCATGGTAAAGTGTTTTCCATTCAGTGTTGGCTGCAGTTATCCAGTTAGATAAAAGATTAGAATCATAAAGCAAAGCTGATATATTGAGATGATAAAGAAAGTTAAGTTGATTAATATCTTAATTGTAGGATGTAAACATTGAGATTTGGTTTTGAATTAAGGCTTTGACCTGTTTTATGATGTTGTCGAGTTTTTTAATACATGAATGTAGTTTAGATGCCTTGAAGGAAACGATGTGTTAAAAGTTGCAAACTGTAAATTTTTTGTTTAGAATATGTTGTAGAGCAGCTGCAATCATGCTTTTTTGAATTTTGTACCATAAGGCTTTAAATAATTCTGTGGTGTTGGTTGTAGAAGAAGTTTTGTTAGCTTAAAAGATTAGATGTGACTTGATTAGCAAAAGCTTACCAATAGTTTTGGTTTATTTGTTTATAAGCAAAGACTCTTCATTTGATTTTGGTAACTAATCATTGTTTTCTAGTAATTACATAAGGGAATTTCTATAATGATATGAGAATTTTATGATTACTGAATGTACTTGGTTAGCATTATCTGTATGATAAGAAGTTAAGTATCAAATAATAGAATAATTAGTCTAGATGTAGTTAATATAACTATTGTATCTGCTGTTATGCCAGATGGAAGTTAATGATTATATATGTTTAACTAGATCATACATGTTGTTATATTGAAGAAAATGAATAAGTTTGAGTTTAATTGATTGTATGCTTTTAGTATTTGCTTCTTGAATCCATTGTATAATATTATTTTGAATAAGAAGTCTAAGTTGAAGGTTATTATTAGATAAATAAACTGAAATAATGTGAAATTTAAAGTCATACTTAAAGAAAAGGTCTATAGCAATAGCATAACTAGAGAATTGAAATATTTTGTAAACATGTGGTTTTAGATGTTTTTGAATTATAATTGCTGTTCTAGCTTTGCAGCTATCAATGCAAGACCAGTAATAGATAAACTGCTATGATCTAGAAAATTTAGCATTTGCATTTTTTTGTACAATTTTAGTTTCTGTAATGCTAGTTATATTGATGTTATTGGATAAACAATAGTTCTTCTAAACTTATTGTTTTAGATTATTGTTATATTCTTATGTATTATATGTACATATTAATAAATATAATGATTTATATGAGGTAGATATAGATATTTTCTTTATTGATAAATGGATGGTAGGTTGTGTGTTATAAGTATTAGAAAATGTAAGTTAAGAAAAAGTCTCAAATTTATCAACTATATGACTAGGTATAGAAGTAATTAGTATAGATGAAGATTCAAAAAATAGATCTGTAAGAAATAATTGATCAAGTGAGACTGAGTAAATGTTAGATAAAGTATTGTTAGATGTTGTTAATAAGGGTAGATGTTTGTATATTTCATATTGAAAAAATTAAATAGTATAATGTTTATGCAAAATAGAATCAGAAAGATTAGTATATATATGTAACTCAGTTTTGTTTTGGTTGATAAATATTTTGAAGCTAATTTTAAAAAATGTTTTTGAAGATAGAATAGAAAGTTTCCAAGTATTATAGGATTATATATAATAGGTAGATTGTATAATTATAGAAATTTGTTGTAGTATGTATTTGTTTCTGCACAAATAAAGTGTTAAGAGCAGAAACTTAAGAGGTTGAGTTGTCTTCTATAGGGTCATTCACTATCTGAAGCTTGGTTTATACAGCTGTAGAAGATATTATAGCCTGCCCTGTATATTGAATCTAGTCATTATTAACTTGATCTTTCATGTAAAAAAAGACCTAATTATGAGATATAAACATTATATATAATACTAATATTATAAAAAATTAGTAACAACATTCTTATACTTTCTAAAATAGGCAATACTAACATCTTTATATTTAACTTATAAGATACTTGCTTAGAAGGGTAATTAACAGATTGTATAAATAAGTTTTAATTGGAATTCAAAAAGAGAATTTGATTAGAAGAATAACCAGAAAATAACTAAAACTGAAATAATAGAGAGAAGTAGTAAATATAAAAATAGTCTGTAGTAAAGAGTTAATTTAATCAAAATTAAAAGTATATTTAATATAGTCAAATAATCTGATTATAAAAAAAAAACTTGGAGGTTGGTATATACTTTTTTGTATAAAGAAAAAATACTAAATTAAAGTTTTAGTTATATTTATATAAAATTCTATAATGAATAAAACTAAAATTAATCAACTAATATAAGATAGAATTTGTAAAATAGTTTAATATTACTAAGATCAGTATAACTCTTTAGATATAATTAGAATTGTCTGACAAGTATTATTGAATAAATAAGATGCTTGTAATATTTAATAGTATAGTATCACTGAAGTTAATAGAACTTTCTAAGTATAATTAGTATTGTTCTTGTTATAATTGTAACAAATTTTAGTTCCTATTATAAAAAAGAATATTTTATTAAAAATAAATTTAATATTGAGTTACTGTATAATATTAAAATCTAAGTTATCTACAAGAACATTAATAGCAAATCAGATTTGAAATACAAATTTTTAAAAAACTAATAATGATAACAAGTCTGGTTTGAGATTAAAAACCTTAAAGAAAACAATGAAAGATATTTTATAGATGAAAGATTATAAGGATTAAACATACTCAAATAAAACCAATTTGAGAATAAATATAGAAAACAAGATATTATTAAATATACTTAGATTAAAAATCAGAAAAAACAAAACTAGATAAAATATATAAGTGAAACATAAATACAATTACAAAATACAGTATTTCTAACATTAGAATATTATATTAAGTTTCAAAAATATTCTTGTTTGTATAACAATTTAATAGTATACTCTGATTACAAGTGATTGCCAAGATAGCTGCATGCAGAAATGTAGTGAATATATGGAGGTAAGTCAATAAAAACATACTATATTTTTTCTAAGTAAATTTTTTTAAAACTTTAAATAAAGATAACTCAACAACAACTTTATCAAATTTAGTAAAAAAAATTTTAAACCAATTTTAAGAACTTATAGAATTTATTTAAAACTTTATTATTAAATTTTGTTAAGTTTTTGCTAAGTTATTTTATTTAAAATTCAAAAAAATTTTATTAAAATAATATGGTGCATTTCTATTAACTTACTCTCATATGCTTAGGTATTATATGAGTAACCAGATGAAGTCAATAGAGTAAAATTAGGATAGTTAATATAGTACTAGTAATAATTCTATAAATATAATCTTAAAATTGTATTATATCAAATTTAAAACCTAATAAACCAATTAACAGTGTTACTAAAGTTCAAAAAAAATATTATTAATTTTTTTATATAGTGAACAATTTAAATAAATAATTTTTTTTTATTATAACTTTTTTTCTACATAATAATTCTATTTAAAGTTTGCAAGTTTATACATCAAGGTTATACAAATATACTTGCAAAATAGTATGAAAAAATACTTAATTTTTATTGTTTGATTAATAAATATATCAAAAAGTTTCGGTTTTTTGATTTTTTTTTAAAAAAATAAACTAACTTTAAGCTTTTTTTAAGCAATATTTAATCAAAAATAAATTTAATTTTTTTATAAATATATAATATAAATATACAAATATTAAATATATTTATTAAATTGCAAGTTAATATGTAAAAATTTGAGTTATTATATTTTAATTCAAATGAATCAAGTTGGTGTATCACACTTAATAAGATTACCAATACTTTTAATTATATTTTAAATAATCAATTAGGGTATTACTAAGTAATTATAAACTATATATATTGTCATTTGCATTTAAATTATTGTGATCAGAAAATTTTGAGTATACATATATTCAGTATGGTACGTTGGTTTGGTCAGTACCGTATCGTCGCGAAAGAACGCCCGGGGCGTTATTTAGGGGTACATTGCTTGAAGAGAGCTAATAATTAATTTAGCCGAAGACTTTAATAACCAAAACTTATGATTTTCATTCGTTTAAATTAGCTCTCTTCAAGCAATGTGTCTCGAAATGACACCCGGAGCGTTATTTCGCGATGATACGGTACTGGTAACCCTAACCCTAACCTTAAAGTATTTATTTTAATAAAAATTTTATGAGGTGATATCACCTAGGGTGAAATTAGGTATAATCTTTATTTTTTTTTTAGATGTTTTTATATTTAATTATAAATGTATCTAATACGTATAATGTTTAATGAGATAACCGATATGTCGTACCCCAGATTGGAATCGTCCCAATTCAGAATCGGACAGATCCAGATGGGAATCTTGCGAATGGTTTTGGCAGAATTAAGACTTTAGGGTCAATGTTAGGGTTAGAATTAGGGTATACTATAATTTTGGTTAGTATAATTCGAGCCAAAATAACAAAACTCTCATCCGGGACTGTCCCGATTCAGAATCGAGGCAGATTCCGCTTCGTATTAGCCGGAAAAATACATGTTATATACTGCTAAAAGGTAATCACTAATATAGTTCTAATCGAAAATTTGCCTTATCGTGTACACTTTTTTTCTTATTTATTCTTTCATTCTGCTCCGAGAATTAATCATTATTATATTCATCACAATCATCCTTATCGTCGTCATCCTCATCATCGTCTTCATCAACATCCTCATCGCCATTATCCTCATCGCCATTATCCTCATCGCCATTATCCTCATCGCCATTATCCTCATCGCCATTATCCTCATCGACATTATCCTCATCATCATTATACTCGTCATAATAATCTACATATTCAAGTTCCGAACGTAACCGATTAAAATTTTCTTCAGCGAAAGAATCACCTAGATTAGCGGCTTTCGAATACAATTCTAAGGCTTGATGTTCATCCATTGCGACACCAATTCCTTTTTCAAAACACCATGCAACACCACTAATTCCACCTGTGTTACCACCCCTAGCGGATTTCAGATACCATTGAAAAGCGCTTTCTTCATCAATATTAACACCGATCCCTTTCCTATAACAACGTGCAAGATGAGACATCCCGATAAGATCACCAACTTCGGCAGATCTTTTATAATATTCGAATGCCTTCTGCTTATCACATTCGAGTATGAAACCATTTTCATAATGATATCCGATCTGAAAAAGTCCACTTCCATTATTTCTCTCAGCAGCTTTTTGATACCATTTTAATGCTTCGTTCTTGTTCATATTGACTCCTATTCCTTTATTATAACAATGACCAATATGGCATATGGCAAAAGAATCTTCTCTTGAGGCAGCTTCCATATACCGTTTGAATGCTTTTTGGTAATTTTTAGGTGTTCCGACAGCATAACGATAACAGTGGCCAAGAAAAAAAATCGCTCTGACAAATCTCATGTCAGCAGCTTCTTGATAACATTGAAATGCTCTACATTTGTCTTGAACAACACCATTACCATGTTCATAGTTATACCCTTCCCAAAATTTTGCTTCGGCGAAACCCATTTTTTTTCAAAGCAAAATATCAGATATATTGACCATATTTTCCCAAAAATATTGTAATAAGTTATATATATATATATATATTCGATATGTAAATTGATTATGCTAGAAAATTTATACTGGTGATAGGTAAAATGAAGATTAAAATTACTTATCGTTATAGATTACAGGATTAAATGACTTACGTAGCAGAGTGATACTAACTAGGGGTGAGAATCGATTCTAGATTCTAAAATCGATATTGAATCTCAAATAAATATTTGACTATCATTATATTCTAAACCTGTCTTTTTGGCATCAAAATTATGTAACCAGTATTTTTAAAATGCTGTATAACTGTTTTTAGCAACTAAATTGGCTGATTGAATTCATATTATTTGCTTTGCAAAATGGCGTTTATTGGTTTCAAATACATACAGCATAAATATAACTGATCAAAAATATGTAATTTCCTCGCTTATTGTATCATGTTGTAAAGCGCTATAGCTATAGCATTAATGATATGTAATTTAATATCGATCGATATGACGTAATATTAGTAGTGTGTATATTACATAAGTAGCTGCGCAGTGCAATTGTGAAAGGATTATGTTGTATATAATATTTAAAAATAAGCTTTTGAGTTGTATCAGACCTGGAGGTATAAACATAGTGCCATAACTTGTAATGAATTATATCTGTAGCGGTAACTACGGATATTTTTAGACTTACAAATATAATCATGAGGAAGAGCCATCCAATGAGATACAAAGAATTATTTACCCACCATTGAACCATACTCTTCGTTGCACTCCATTTTTGGTATACTTTTTATTACACTCTAGATCTAAATACTGTATACTGGATTATTATATTTGAATTTATTAAGTACAAAGAAAATTTGATAATCGAAGTGTTTAAAATGAGCTACTTAATGCTTTAGTTATCAATTTATACTGTGCATATAAAGAACATTTATTAATCGAAGTGCATATAATTAATATTGCATTCATGTGTTTAATTCATATTGCAAGGATAAGGCTTCAATAGAAAAATTTATGCAAAATAGCTATAATACGCAAATCACCCAAAAATAAATAATGCAGGTAGAGCCGTGAATAAAACAAGTAAAAACAAGGTATAACTTGCACGTATTACAAATTTAAAAGCCACATAATAACGATAAATGGTAAGCCTCGCGTTTATTAAATTATCTAACAATCAGTGATTTTTTGATATGCAAATTTCACAAACAATAAATCAATAACAAGAGAAGGTAATTTGATATATTGTCTCAAAATTATAACGATAATGTTCTTTGAACACAAAGATTAATCGAAAAATTGTAATTATTACACGACCTGAGTTGAAAAATAGTAGAACCTGCGTTTATTATTTATATTATATAGATATGTAAAACCTGAGTTTGTTTATCAAACCTGAAATTGATAAATATGATTTGTATAAACCTGTGTTTCATTATGTAAAATTTGGCTTTTTTTTGTATACATATGTAAAACCTAGATTTTTAAAATAAATTTGATAAATAGATTTTAATTTTTTTAAAAATTTTGATTAAAAATATTTTAGCAATCATCTTATCAAATTTAATGATTTTTTTATTTGAATTCTACAAACTTATAGAATTCAAATAAATTTTTTTTATAGAATTTTTTTTTTTACTTAGTCCTTATTTTTAAAAACCAATTTTTATTCAAATTTTATTGGAAACAAGAACTTTTAAAGGTTTCTTTATATAGAAAGTTATAACTAGTCATATGTACACTTTTTGTATCTAATTTAAGCAGTTTACTTATATATTACTACAGTCAACTCTCTCTATTCCGAATAGTCCGTTCTTATATGAAAAAATATCAAAAAGTTCAGTTTTCAAAAAGTTATTACGTTGCTAATCCGAACTTTTTAATAAAATTTACAAATGTTCTAAAGCTTTGTGTTCGGTTTTTACAGAGTTTATTAAGGGTTCGGATTATCCAGGTTCGGATTTGGGAGAGTTGACTGTATACAGGTTTTATACTAGATAGCATACTTGCAAGCTAATTACAAATCTGGTTTATTTAAACCTTTTGCATATACAATCTATTTATATTATAAAACATCTTCAGAGTACAGTTCATTTAAAGTTTCTGATTCTTATTAATATTTTTAAGATTATTTTATTTTTAACAGAAAACTTATTAGAGTTTTTTATGTTTTATATACAAATAATCTAGTTTTATATAACATGTTATAGCTTGATTAATACTTACAGTTAAAGATATTCAGTTAATCTGTTAATATTATATTATTCATACTCTTGTAAAGTTTACTAAAACCCTAGTACTTATTTTTTTAATCTCTTTTTTATTATCTTCTACTAACTGTTACTTAGAACTAACAAACTTTTCAAACTACTAATTTAGTTGATCTGATATGATATACTTTTGTATTCTTTTTATCTAACAAATTTAGTAACTTAGCTAGTTATATGCTCTTCTATATATATTTATTGTCTAGTTTATTTATTTATTTTTTTGAGAATAGTTTATAGTTTTAATCAATTTAATAGTATTGTTAAAAGTCTATATTATTTCTTTATTCTAGAAGTTTTAAGTAGAATTTTGTCTTTTCAGTTTCTTAATCTTTTGTGTCTAGTAGTCTTATTATAAATTTTACTAAAGTCTTATACAATATCAGTTTTAATATTTCTCTATATATATGTAATATTATACTTTATATAGATATTCTGAGCTTCTAATAATCAATAAAATTCAACTTAGTGTACTTAAAATTACAAATATTTAAATTTAACTAATTGATAATATATAGTTATTATAACACAAATATAATTTTTAAATTTTATTATAAGTAAGATTTAAACATTAGATCTGTTACTTGAAAAATAACAACTTATTTATTATATTTATAAAATTTAAGTAAATAACTACTAAAATATTCTTAGTTAAGATTTATTATTTTTTTTGATATTAAGATGACTTCTTTAGTTCTGACTTTTTATTAATACTTATATTAAGTATATGTTTATATAGACATATTTATATTGAACTATCAGATAAGTATACAATTAGCTATATATATAACTTTTCTATATTACCTATTTAAGAAGTTCACTCAAAGGTTCTTTACCAGTTGTTATATCTAAAATCTCTGCTTAGATGTTTTATTTAAATCCTCTGATTTGACCCTAATATTAACCTTTTTTATTTAATAAAGACAATCACATATAATTTAAACCAGTATTTTTTATGCTTTTACTTTTTTTATTTTTATCTTATTGGTTATATTTACCTTATAGTATTAAAAACAAACCATAGTAACAATATAAAAAAATATAATAAGAAATTTTTATAAATACTACCTTTAGCTTATTTAAATTGAATAAATCAAAAATTTGATACTAAAAAAAGCATTAACAAATATATTTATAAAGCATAGCTTTCTTGTAATATGTTTAAATAAATCAGATATTTTTTAATAACTTACAGTAAAGGTATAATACAATCTTGACAATTTATTTATCTTTCTGTTTTCAGTAATAAAGACATAATTCTGATAATAAAAATAAGCCAGTAATAAAGCATCTTTTATATAAAATAAAACTAACCAACAAAAATAAATTTAATAATAGGTTAACAAAAGGCTGTAACAAAGAAACATATAGCAAATTATAGTAACAAAACAATATGAATTATAAAAGCAAATTATATTTGTAAAGATAATATCTAAACTTTTTATATTACATAAAGTAATAACTATAATTTATTTGTATACTGTTTTAACACAATACTTTATTCTTTATACTTATACTATTTTTTTATAATTTCTGTTTTTTATACTTTTAAAAAATAGATAGTATATAATAAAAATATATCTAACTTCAAAAATTTTGATAATCTTAAGCATAGTGGGTCAACATGTAGTTTTAAGTTTAGTGAATTAACAAATGACTTTGAGCCTGATAGGCTGATATATAATTCTAAGTCAATGTGTAATTTTGTAGTTACTATTTATAAAGATAAGAATATTAAATTGAACTGTTAAAAGCAAAACTTTATAAAAAAATAATATTTTAAAGTTAGAAAGAAGTATTTGATGTATTAAATATGTATTCTTAATATAAAGGATTTAAACTAAAAAATAAACATATTAAGAAAACTTCTGATAAAATTATATAAAAATAAATAATATTATATAAACACAGTAGTAAATATAAGTTTAAAAACTTACAATTAACTAAAAAAAACAATTATAAAATATATAAAATGTCTATGGCATATAAATTTATTGCAACCAATAAAGAATAATCCTAATAAAAATATTTATCCTACTATCTTAAATAATAATTATAATTATAATTTGTCTACTTATACAGCTGATTCTTGATAGGGCTTGGTAAAGCCTTCTGGTCCTGGCAGAGGTCAGTGTGACTATCACTTTTAGAAAGTTTAAAAGTACAGACTGGAGGAGGTTAAGGTTCAAGAAAACATGTATATGAAAAACAATAGTTCAGAATATGAAGGACACAGAAAAATCTCAGCAGAACAAGTCAAAAAAGAAAAAAAAAATTGTCTACTTATAAAACAAAATTTTTTAATAATAATTAATATACTTAAAAAATATAGAAGCAGAAAGAATTTTATATAGATGCTATTAAATTAAAACACTGCAAATTTAGCAAGTATTATAAAAAAATTTTCTGATCATGAAGTTTATTTTTCGGAAATTCATAAAACAATAACAAAATATTATAGTGAAAAATAAAAAGATATATCAAATAATGTATAAAGAATTAATAGAAAAAAAGGTAAAGATCCTTATTAGTATATTGCAATTAACTAGAACCAAGATTTGCATAGTCTTCAAAAGCTGTTTTAAATATCATCTAAATAGATTATTCTTTAAATAAAGTTTAGTAACATCATTTTAATAACAATACTGCAAAAACAAACAGATATGATATAACACTTTTACTCTTTATATGTATTGCCAATCATGAATTCTTT